GTCCTGGAAAAAAACATTTTGTCCTGGAAATGTCCTGGAATTTCATCTCACTTAAGGTGTACGAACCCTGATTATGCACGTTTTTAGAATTTTATCCCTATTTTGGCAGCTTTATACATTTATCTGTAGACCAAAGTAAGGGTTACATTTTATAAATTTGTGATTATGGTTTTAACTCTTGTAAAAGTTATAGCTATCACAGATATGGCTTTACTATGATATGTCTATTCCATAGGCATATAAAAACTGAACAAATAGGGAAAATTTATAATTTTAATGGAAAGTGGGGATTTTTTTCCTGTAATAATAATAAAAAAAAAATATACAAGTAAAATGATACTAGTTGGGTAGATTTTAAAATAATTTCCAATTCCTATGTTGTTTGGCATTGTAAACCATATAGCTAAATAAAGTAGTCCATTAAAAAAAAATTTTTTTTTCTTATTTATAATATTTGCTGTTGCTACTTCTTTCCCGTGGTGGCTTATTTGTGTGTCTATGAGCTTATAACACAAAATTTGCTTTTGATACATGTAGTGGGAAGAGTACAGAGCCTGATGTGTAGCTTTGTGCCTTCTCAGTTTTTACTGTTTGATTTTGGAAATTCTGCTTTCCATATACTTCATGTATGTTCATTAGTTATCTTGTTTGCCCTTTATTAATTACTTTGATAGCCTTCTGTTGATGTTACTCAACAATGACCACAGTTATGTTTAAGTTGGGTTATAAAATATTGCTTTTGTTTCTGACCTAAATATCTATTATAAAAGTATATTGAAGAAACTTGGATGTTTCGGAGTTGTTTTTACTGACCCTAAGATCTTATAATGTCTATGACCTATGTCTTTGCTTAAGGTAATTCAGTCAGAGTAGTCATTACTTCATACATTAGGGAGAGCTATTATAGATTGTGGCTGGTTAGTATATGGTACAAGGTTCCTGCTCTCTGGAGAAAACCAAGTTTCTGCTATGGTAATTCTGTAACACATTAATTATACAGTGTATATATATATTTACTACCTTATTTTATTTTACTGAGAAATAGAACATCATTATTTAAATTCACCAATAATAAACTTCTTACATATTTTGTCAGTGATTATATTTGTTCATGTGTAATATTTTACATGTTAGGCTTTAAATATGATTTTGTATATATTACCTTGAATTTAATGTCTTTCTGTATTTTGTAACTGTACAGTTATATGAAATTGGGTAGTCTATTGCTTTGTCATCTTCATAAAATTTGTTGTTAAAACTTTGAGAATATTGACTTTCCCCACACTTTTGTGTAATGTCAACATTCTAGAACAGTGGGAAGAACATTGTAATATCACAGCAAATGTAGTGATCACTTGACCAACATGTGAGGTTTTGATTTTTAGTTTTTCATGTTGAAACACACTGACAATACTGACTTTAGTTTTAACAAAATCATACTTTTTACATTTACTTTGAATAAACTGAAATTACAGGCCTATTACATTTTCAAGATGTGTTTAGGTGAGTTGAAAACTGTTTTAAGATTATAAATGAATGGATTTTTACAACTACATTCTGATCAAAACATTGGGTTTATTATATATCATTTAGTTTTTAATTTTTAATATTTTCTTGATTAACAACGTAAATAAGTTCAGATACCTCTACCTTACATTGCTAAATGGTATTTTGCATTGTTAATGTAAACACCTTTTTAAAGTGGCTTCTTTTAAAAAAAAAACAAAGGGTCTGAACAAAGAATATGTTAGAAATATAAGCCCAGTATTAATTTATTATGACAAATAAGTATTATGTAATATCAACATTCAAATACCTTTTATATTTCCATATTACATTGAAATTGCTGAATCAGTTCCAGAAAGCGGTACCAGAAAGAAAGTTAAAAAAAGGAAAACTTTTTTTGTGCACAGAAGGTGTTTCCTTGTAATATTATTTAAATGTGTATGCCATGAGGTGTTCATATGACAAAAATTCAGTATTATGTGCAACTGACATTGGATTTGGTAAGAATAGTGGTAGTGTTTTAGTATGTAGCACTAAAAGCATGATTGACACATTCTGCTTTCTTTACCTGCCTACCTTATGGACTTCTATTATTGTTTTGTACTTGCTCAAGCCTCTATATGATGTTACTGTTCTATACTGTAGGCTGTGTATATCTTCACTTTTATGAAATCCTTCCATTTAAGGTGAGGCTCCATTTAAGCTTTTCCAGCAATGTGATGCTCTCTAATACTAGTGACGGCTGTTGATGTATTTGTGCAAGTTCTATAAAATGTGTTCCTTATATCTAGATATACTAGATTTCTTCTACAAAAACTTGTAGTAAAACAACTGGATGTTGCAGTATATTTGTGTCCATAACTGCATAACATTTTGGTGTAACTAAACTGAGTAAAAACATTGAAACACTAAAAAAATGTATACAGACAGCAAATTAATTGCATATACATTGATACTATTATTTCAGGTGCACCAAGAAAATTTTTAATCACACCTGCAATCTTTGTTTCATAACTTTGTTTTTACCTTAATCATAGACCAGACAATGGTGTATTATTGTAAATGTAATATAAATCATCGAAGTAAAACATTGATTGTGAACATTGTAAATATAAGTTTACAACTTATTACTAGATAGCAGGTAGTACATGCTCTTATGATAATTATTATTAGATTGTCAAAAAATTAACTCTTTCAGCATGGGCTTGGTCCCTGGGACTGACCTCATAACCATTTTGTGCTTGTTATAGTTTTCATGCTTTAACTTTTAAATTAGTAAGTTTTTTTCTCTTTTTACAAGTTGCCTATCTATCATACAAAGTAATGTTCAACTGCAAAGATTAAGTCAACAAACGTGATGACATGCTCTTTGACACGTAAGCTGTTGAGATAGGGATAGAGGACATCAACATGTTTTTTGCTTCAAAGCCAAGTGATTTCTTTTATCATGGCATTAACAACCTGATTGTAAGATGGAAAAGCATCATTGATAAGGATGGGGATACTTTCATTTAATAAAAAGCAACATTAATTTCTTAGCTACGTAGTAGATTTGCTTCCTTTATAACATGTTTTGTTAGTGAATAGAACTGAACTAAATCAGTAACTGTGGAGTTACCTATGTCAGGAAACTTCACATTTGTCAAACTGACATAAAAAGAATGTGTAAGGTTGTCTTGAAAGTTCTTTATTTGAACTTACTATAATAAGGAGGAATTGAGTGTGTGATTGCTACATCTTATTTCAATTGGCAAAGATAAATGTCAATTCATTTGCCAAAAAAACCTTGTATTCTAAACATTATTTCAAAAATAAGATGTTTTCGAGTATGAAATATGAAAATGTGGTATTAGAATCATAGGATTATGGCTGTAAAACAAGTTGTTTGGAAATAGCAATAGAAGTTTGATCATGATTTTTACAAACTACTTGGGGCCCTTAGCATTTGAATTAGTTATGTGCATAAAAAATTTATCTTGCTTTAAAGCATTTAATGCTCAATCAGTTAATATTTCTGGAAAGTAATGAAAGCCTATGTATAAAAGCAACCACCTCAAATTAGTTGACATCTAAAGTAAAACTAGCTTCTTATCAAGTCTAATTATATGGTAACTGCCATGTTTTTTTTAAGTAGGCTTAGGGTTTTTTTTTTGTATCTACTAAACTGTTGACAAGTAAACTTTTCACATTACCCTATTTACACAGGTCTTCCTATGGTCACAAGTCAAAGGCTACGTCATCACGTTTGTGATTCACATTCAAAATTATATTGAACTAATTTTATGAACGTATGTTAAGTTTGCCATCAAATTGCAGATTATAACTGAAATTTTAGTATTATACATTAATTTCTTAGTTTAAGTATAGTTTTTTCCTAATTAGATACTCAAATTACTGATATTTACAACCTAGCATATAAGAACATCTATTTTCTGAGATATTAACATATTTATTGAATCAATCAAGGTGGCCCCTCCCATCTCTTCCATTTTTGAAAATACTCGCTTAAGTACACCTACTTCGCCAAGTGACGTGTATAACCAATCAAAAGCTCAGAATGTTCCCCTAGTTAGTGGTTTCTCAGCCTCTGCAAAGTATTTGCGTGGGAAACTTTCTTTTCATGCTAGATTCGAAGCGCTAAGGTAAGACATTGGTGGGATTGAAAAATCTTTTTTTTTTAGACCCAAATGCAGCTTAGTTACTCAGTTTGATAAATTATAATGGAATTCTATGGTGTTGATATAGTAATTTGACTTTCGTTATTTCAAAAAGCATATATATATATATATATATATTAACCTAAAAAGAATTATTCTGTTTTACATCATCCACATGTGAAATTTAATAAGGCTTAGCAACTTAGGCAAGTAGCAAGCAAGTACAAAGTTCATAAGTAGAAGAACTGAAAGATAAGAACTTCTTGGAAATAATAATAATGTATATACTTAGTGTAATGTGACTGTATTTTACAAAATACTGGTCCACTGTAACACAGCTAAGACAAATCACTTTGTAAAGGCCAGTTATATTCTTGGATATGGTAATGTGTGTACGTGCACTGCATCATTGCAACTTCTATAATGTTAGTCAGACATAGCTAGAAGCCATTGAAATAAAAAATAATTATATAACATTTTTTCTTAGTGATAATTATCTGTAGGTTAAATATTTTGCACGTGATATTTGAAAATTTTCTGATGTATAAAAGTATCTTAAATCTTAAAATCAAAATTACTTTGCATGTTGAATTGTCAACATTTGAAAAGATAAAATACATGAGCAAATCATTATATAACAATCTTAAAACTTGATACAAAAAATCTGATATTTTGTATATCAAAACCTTGTAATGTTTACTGTTAATCTGCAAATTTTCAGGAAGATATGCTTACTGTATTAAGTTATAACATGAAAACAAGTGCAAAATTCCTGGTGAGTGTAGTGAAAGAGTTAAGGAGAAAATGATGCAAGTTATTTGGAGAAATGTTTGTCTAAATGCTTACAGACGAGCTTGTATTAAGCATTTTTGCATGGATTTACATCTTTCCGCAGTACAATACAATGAAAGTTCTCTTTATTGTGTAATTTTCTTTTATAAAATTTAGGTATATTACTAAACATTATATGAAGATACTTAAATTCTGTAGTGAATGTAAAACAATTTTTTCTATTGAAGATTTAAACTTGTACAATGACTGATAATTAAGACTGTTCCTAAGTATTGCTCTGGATTGATTGAGCATATTTCATTAACTCTGTTAGAATTTTTTACTTGATTGATCAAACTTTAATATTGTGTATGTTACCATATTTGAAATTCACTCTCTTCAAAATTAAAGCATAACCATCAAACACTTTAGTGCCTAAGTCAAATTTTTTGGAGCAATGCATTTTCCAAGCATATTTTTTGTGTGCCCCCATTTTGGGACAGTGTATGTGAATGTAGATAGAACCCCAAACATCATAGCAACCAATACATTCACAAGGCAATATTCAAAGCTTTTTAATCCAGAACAATTGTAGACCTAATAGTAATTGATTTCTTACAAATCCATCAGCCAATGCAGTAACCTTGTAACTTACAGTTTGGGAACTGTGGAAGTAAGAGATTCAACATTTAGATCATTGATTACATCTGAAGACATTTTTTCATTACAGATATGATAGGACAACTTCCAGTAATAGTGAACTTTTTGAACTAACCTGCATTGTTGGAAGAATGGTTGCTATAGCATAACTTGTATATATGTATTTAATTAAAACTAATGAGTATTTATCTTAATTTATCTTATCTTCCAAGAAAAAAGATGAGTTATCACAGTTTCAGCTCCAGTTTGTGCTTTGCTATAGTCACTCTGGCGTTTCCAACTGTGTACATTATCGTTGAGTCGCTATATCTTGGTTTTCGTAAGTAAGACTATGATACGAAACTCAACAACAAACAAGCTTTTTTGTTCTTCATGGGTTTCTCATAAGCTTTGATTTGTCTTAAATTTTTTGGTAAATTACATTATACTGTGCTTAAGAGGAAATCATTAAAATTATATTGTAGTAAAGTATTCTGGGATACTTCAGTCCTTAAGTTAATTTGTGAATTTCGTCAGTTCTCAGCCTGATTCATTCTACCTTTTTCTTCAGTGCTTTGTGAAACCTGTAGAATTGGTGTTTAAATGAGGAATTTTGTTATTTAGTTTTAAAAGTTAGCTTGATATTCAGTCCTTCAGTACAAATCTTTAGTCTGCAATATGACTAACTGAATGTGCATCAAATTCCAGTTTTTTTTATATAATCATTAATTTCTGAAGCAATACAGAGGTTAGGTTCTTTATATTAGGACAATTTTGAAGTGTCACTGTATAAGTTTGTTTTTACCTGGTGGCCTTGAAACTTGACAACAGCCCTGCAGCATAGTTACCATGCAGAAGGCTTTTGTGTCTATCTGTTGTCCAAAACACCACATCTCCATGCTGGCTTTCCATAATCCATGGTTATGAGGGTCTTGGTTTCCCAGCATCCATTTCAATAGTGATCTTGCAGAAATCTGTTGTTACTACATCAGGTATCTTGATAGTGTATGTCTGTATGTAACAGTTTAACAAGTACTGCTGAAAGCCTTATCTTGGTGAACCCATACCCCATTGGCCCCATATCTAGACAAAGATCCTTTTTGATTGTTTACTGTTGCCTAAGGCACATGTATGTTTTGTCACTGACCTTTGTGTTTCTGGATTCCCACCTGTTATGACAGCTTACCATGACTGAGGTACAACTTTGTTTTTCAAGTGTTATTGGGTACAAGGAGTATCCCCATCTTATAAATTCTAAACACCTTTTTTTATTATCTGAAAGTGTGAATGTCTTGTAATAGAAAAGGCGATAGTTTTATGTGGTTCAATATTGGTATTCTATAAGTATGAAGTTATAGATTATGGTGTCAGATATATGAGTGAATAAAGTGACAACTGGTGGGTCAGTGCAGGCAGAAGCCAAGTCTACAAATGGGGAAAGTAATACATGTGTACGTGGAAGTTTGGATTAGGCTTATTTGAAATTTTATAATTTTTGCATACTGCATATATTCCATTTGATACCACTATAGTTTTAAATATTTCCACAAATTTTAATGTATTAACATTATAAAAAAAATTACATGTTCTCAGTTTTATTGGTGTATTATGATTAAGTTTTCATCTCTACCCCCAATTTGTTGTAAAGCTAAAAAGTATGAACATTGCAAATTTTATTACTGTACTGAACAGGTGTTGACAACTACAATAGTTTTCTAAAAGAAAAATTATAATTGGCTGCAAATTTCATATTTGGAAAAAGACTTAATCCTCATCAGAATTTCTTTATTATGAACAGTGATACAAATTAGTGAAAGATACTGCTTTTATGAAATTATGTATATTTTTGGTTGGTTAATTTGAAGTATCAATTCAAAAATGTTCTTTTAGGTACGAGAGTATGAACTGCGAAAGGATAACTTCTCAGACACTGGAAACTTTGGGTTTGGCATACAAGAACATATTGACTTGGGAATTAAGTATGACCCAAGTATTGGTATTTATGGCTTAGACTTCTATGTGGTCCTTGGACGTCCTGGGTTTGACATTGCCCATCGAAGGAGGAGGAAGAGTACCATCGGTGCAAAACATAGAGTTGTAAAGGAAGAAGCTATGAAGTGGTTTCAACAGAAGGTAAATGAAAAATGTTTAATTGATTTTGGAAATAAAGTGTAAATGTATGACAACATTGAAGTCTGGTGACCCTCGGAATAGTTTAAAACCTGTCAATATAATTTTTAATATGAGATCTTTCTAGATTACAAATTTTGTTGTTAATCAACAAAATAGAAACTTGTTTCAGGTTATCTTGCATTTGAGATTTTGAGAAATGTTTAGATCCGGAGAATTTTTACTTTCATTCACAGTATCAGCTCCAGTGTAGATGTCAAGAAATCACACTGGCGTTTCCAACTGTGTAAATTAATGTTAAGTTGCTATGTCTTGGTTGTCATATTAAAACCATGATACAAAACTTAACAACAACTTGTCTCATCAAGTCCTTAAGAATTATAAGATATGCTTAGAATAAATGTTTGTTACTTGAGTTTAAACAACTTTATTCTTCCATGCATTTATGGGAAGTCATAACTGCAAGGAACATTTAGAATAATTGTTTCCATTTGTATAATACTGGCTATTCTCAGGATAATTAGAAAGTTATATAATAAAATATCACCATATGATTTATGTCATAGGTGATGATTTTAATATTGACATTCATGTGTTATGTAGTAAGTTAATTAACAAAATTCTAAATATAAAGGTATTGATATGCGATTTGAATTGTTAAGTGTTTTTCACTTTATATTATAGATAGAATTGGACATTAATTTTATGTCTGCTTATCCAAGTTGGAACTTAACGTTTTGAAATTATCAGGTGCCAACACTTTCCTGTTAGATCACTAGACAAATGTTATTCAAGGTCACCAGAGAAAATAATACTCATTCACAAATCATTCAACACTTTTATGTAATTCATAATTATGGTCACTTAGTACCTAATCCGAACAATGTACTTGATACTGGTAACATCCTGCAGGTTAAACATCATTTGTATGTGGCTGAATACCAAATAATTTGAGTAATATAATATTAATATTAAATTTGTCATCTTATTGTCATAGGAATAAAAGCTTGAAGTCTTAAGCAAGTTACAATAGCAATTAGAACTTCCAATTTTAGTTAAGATAGCTACATCAAACTTGCTGAATGGCAATTGAAGTTAATATTTTTATTACTTTCTACAAAAAAGTATTGTATACTTTTGGTTAAATCAGTGTTTCTCTGCTTTTTTCAGTATGATGGCATTATCCTCCCAAGCAAGAGTGGAAAGTAAACTGAATTTCATACTTGTGTATCATTAAGCTCGAAATAAATAATTTTTGGGGCAAACGTGTTTCTTGTAGTTTATTGTCAATATACACATGTATATTAAATTTTCAGGTTTTTTTTTCATGCTAGTCTAAACCTTTGTCTTGCCCACAATACTAATAGAACTGTATCATAATTTATCTCTCAAAGGCAGTGAATTTTGGAAAGACATTGTGGTTTACTCTTGAAATGTGTGTGGTTTTTGTTATAAATATATATATTTGAGAAATAGCCAATCACAGTTTGTAAACAACAAATCTAAATTAAAACTATAGATTTCTCAAAAGTTTAACTTTAGTTAGTGTTTTGAGAAATACACATTAAATTAAAATGCAATTAGATAGATATGGTTTTATAATTCATATATGATGAAGGGCTTTAAAAGACAATTGTATTCTTTATGAATGAGTACTTATTGTTACAAAATCCTGAAGACAATTACATCTGAATCACATAAAAGAAATTTAAAATGATTCCTTTACAAATGTATTAGTCTTGGTGTTAGTGTAGTCAGAATTATTATATTTTGAATTACATTTATTCAGCATTGGACTGGAATCTTTTATAGTTAGTCCTACAGCATCAATACTTACAGAATAAGAAAAATATATTTTTTAGTTGTATCTATGTACACAACTTGAGCTTGCATTGGATCTTTAACTCTTAATGCATTGAGAACCATTCATGTAACAATATTTTACAATGGAAGTGTAATGTGAATTTTCAAGCATGCCTTAAGAGAAAGTATTGTGCAGACAGTTTATTTTACATAACTATAATTTAATTTGCTTGTACATCATATGAAATTTGTAGTGATGTAATTTTATGTAAGGGAATGGTCAACTGTCTACTTACTGTTTTTGAAATAAACTTTTTGTGCTTTATTTTCAAGCAAATTCATAAACCAGCTTTATTGGTGTTTTCTTTAAACCCGTTTGATCACAGTACCAGCCATACCTTTTATTGGCTTGTTTTTAATTTTAGAACATCTTTTTAGTAACTTTGGGAAATAGTCCTACATATTTATAATTGTTATTTTTAATTAATAATGCAGAAAGACTGATAAATAAAGCATTCATGGAAAGCTTAAATCTTCTATAATTCTAATGGGTTTGAGAGAATTCTTTGATTAGTTTGAACTATTCAGTTCTGGAACACGATGCTCTATCCAAACATAACAGTAAATGAAATTTGTGGTACTATTAAAGTCCAGAAATTAATTTTTTCAAAGTAGAATTATACTAATTGTGAACAAGGAGATAGTTGAAATCATTAATTACTCTTGGAGAATTAGTGTTCACAGTTTCAGCTCCAGTGTGTGCTGTGATAGTCACACTGGCGTTTCCCAACTGTGTATATTAACGTTGAGTCGCTATATCTTAGTTTTACCAAATAAAACTATGATACGAAACTCGACTACATTTACATTATTTTAATAGACTACATTGTAACCTAGCATACAATTGTAAACACGTTTACATTATTTTAATAGACTACATGGTAACCTAGCATACAATTGTAAACACATTTACATTATTTTAATAGACTACATGGTAACCTAGCATACAATTGAAAACACATTTACATTATTTTAATAGACTACATTGTAACCTAGCATACAATTGAAAACACATTTACATTATTTTAATAGACTACATGGTAACCTAGCATACAATTGTAAACACATTTACATCATTTTAATACGACTCATGCAGAATTCGAGATCTTTTGATATTGGATTAAAGTTAGAACTAAAACTAAATTTCAGAGGACAGCCTGAAATTAGAAATTAAGGTCTTGAGTTTGAAATTTTCTCTTATTGACAACACAATTAGATTTTAAAAATACGTTATGTTTGATTAAAGATACGTTTAATATGTTAATACACATAATAATAAATTTTAAAATTCTCGTAGTTAAGGGGTTGTGCCGAATTTTTGTGCATATTCCTTACGTTGTCTACAATATTCTTCAAACAAGTCTTTGTAAAAAAAAATAAAGAAAACCGTAGTCATTTTAGCTAGTTTAAAAATAATGGAAAATTTTATAGTTAAATTTTACATTTAAGCTTAACTATGGTATAGCTTAAATAAGTGTTTACTTGAAATCGGGGGGCGTTATGATTTGATTACACCTTTATTACAAATTCTTCTGAAGATATGGGTTTTTGTAGATAGTGTATTGAAAATGGTTACATTGTGGAAAATACTTGTAATTTGAGTAAATAAACTATTTCGCGACTGGATTTTGTCTTTGTGTTACTTGATAAAGTATAGACTCAGACAAACGACATACCGTAACTTGTGTTTTGGTATTATAATACACGAGTTATTTAACAAAGTGGGGCAAATACAAGGTTGATAACATAAGAATTTCAAACCTTGTCAGGAAGTTCGTACGATGTGTACATCTTACACGATCGAACCGTTTTATTCAATTACATCAGTAGTGATGTAAAATTTTGGGTGCGAAAAAATATTAGAAAGCATTTCCAGTTTTGATCATAAGTTTAATAAGAAGAAACTACTTAGATGCGATTTTAATAATGTAGAACTTTATACATAATACACACGCAAAATAACTTTATCACGAAGTATACCCCATTAGTTATACAACTTTTCACCAGTGCTATTATTAACTGTAGAATACGTGCATACATCTTTCCCTTAAAAAAACCCTACGGGTGTTTTAGTGGGAAACCTGAGGCATTGTAGCGTTAAAAACTGGTGTTCTATGCTCTTGGTGGGCACAGGAAATTATTTACGCTACAAACAACCGTCTGCTCCGCGTAGAATTTTTCTGCACAGAAAAATAAACCTGACAAAAATGGGAGTAGTTAATTATAATATTGAAGCTTAATTTGTTAAAAAAAAAACATTTCGTTGCAGATAGTCTGTCTACATGGATGATATTGATAATGGCATACCTGAGTGATATGGTATATCCGGGCTCGACATTATAGACCTATTTCACAGAATACTACTATAATTGTAGCATTTGGCCATACACGCCCACAATATTAGTTAACTTTATCTTACAACTATTTCTGGCATATAGACTGCAGAGGGTGTCATCACTCTCTTAATTAATTTTGTAACATATAAATCGTGTCGCATACAGGGTGGAAATTAAGAGTTCTTTTAATGATCTCATAAAAAATCTTAAACTGGTTTTCATTATTGTTCCATACCACCTATTTTGTTTTTATCTGTAAACAACAACTGAATCTATACAGCATGCTGCCACTTCGGTTACGTTGAATACAGATTGAAAACTACCGTACTGATAACATCAAGATAAAGAAACGGCCAGTTATTAGTTTTTGGATGAATACGCGAGTAAAATAATTATCTGTTTGTCCTTTAAAACTACAAATTAATAAAACGAAGCCATGAGTAACTAAAGGTATCTTCATTATCATGAGGAAATCAACGATGCAAGCAACTAAATTACATACACAATACCTATAGAAATAAGTGAACAAAGTACCACAGCCTGAAAGTTACTGGAGGGAAGAAAATGTGTAAAGCTATATAAATTTGTATAATGCAACTACTTCGCATGCTCTATGGATACTACAGTAAATCTGTATTGGGGAAATAGCCATATATCAGGTCCATTGGGAGTTGTACTTCTGATTGAATATTTAGAAGACAGCCAATTATTTGTTGCTCTGTTATATAGTATGCAATAAGCGTTTAACCCAAGTGTTACGACGCGTCCGCTATATAGCATATGATCAGACTGAAGGTGCAATGTATGTTTTTCCTTTGCTCTAAATAATACTGTACGGTGTACCAATGAAAGACTGTGCTAAAGCATCCACCTAAAGAAGCACGACAACCGCTGATAGAAGTGTTCTATATTCACACAATGCCTCTTTGAAGTTGGGTTAATGGATGTTTTTTTTTTTTCATACGTTTTAGGTGTGAGGGTGTGGAAAGGGATTTTGTAATACAGTTCAGTATAGATTCTGTCAGTTTTCCATGACTTATAAAATCCCTACATATAGATAAGTAACAACAAAATTTATATGAATAATAATGCAACGCTTGACGTTAAAATAAAACATGCATCTACCAAGCAAAAAACATTTATCCTCTGCTTTAGTGATATAAAATGTGGCAAAACGTTTGTTTTCAACATTCAGTTTTATATTTTTAGCCCTTATATTGAAAACCTTTAAAAATAATTGATGAGGTGGCCCGTATGATTTTTCAATGTCTTTATTAATGAAGTCAGAAAAAGGCTTTCACATATTTGGATGGGTGCACAATCCAGTCTCATTGGTTCAAAAAAACAATGCATTATGTATCTTGCACTGACCTTAAAAGTTCCAGATATTATCTGCATTTGTCAGGTTGTGACTGTCGTGTTTCATCTTGTAGCATGACAAGTAGTACCCAAACAGTATGTGGAATTTTCAGTTGCTTTTCCCTATTTGTTAATCGTTGGCGTCCATTCGTAAGAATTGTCACTCCTTATATGGTTCATTGTCACATGGCCAGGTGGTTAGGACGCTCGACTCGCAATCTGCGGGTTCGAATCCCCGTCACACCAAACATGCTCGCCCTTTCAGCCGTGGGGGCGTTATAATGTGACGGTCAATCCCACTATTCGTTGGTAAAAGATTAGCCCAAGAGTGGGTGGAAGACTAGAGGGAAGGCAGCCAGTCATCACCGCAAATAGCCCTCGTGTAGCTTTGCGCGAAATTCAAAAACAAACAAATATTAACAAATTTAGAAGTGGCTGAAAATATATAATAGGATATGGAAATAAAATTGTTAAAAATAATGCAATAAATATCAGTCTTCAATTACTTGTCATGCTCCTTTAGCATCAAACATATAGTGGATTGAGAGCTATTCGGTGGAAACTAACTTATTATAAAGGCCCTGACATGACCTGGTAGTTAGAGCGCTCGACTCGCAATCTGCGAGTCGCGGGTTCGAATCATGTTTCCGAACGTGCTCGTACCTTCAGATGTGGGGGTGTTGTAATGTAATGGTCAATCCAACTAT